GTATATCCGAATTATTCATTACTAAAGGAAGCAGAAGAAGAGAAGACTGAGTTCGGTATGTTTCCGTGGTATGGAAAATAGAGTGTTTGGTGAACCTAACAAGTAAGCGTCGAATCCTCATATATAGCACCACCTTAACTTTTATTGAAACTCACATATAAAATAGTAAGCATTAATGAAAAACTTATTTGAATTTGATTTTTGAGTGCTTCAAATATACAATATTTCGAACGTCAATTGATGTTGGACCCATCAAAATTAATATTCAATGAAAGACAAATTACTTTGTACCAATATAAAGAACATCAAATCATCACTCCCACAATTATTTGATTACACACACACATGTATGTATGTACGAGTATATGTATATGTAAGAAGTCCATATATGTAGATTCAATTTTGAGTCTACACAATTATTATCAATTACAAGTATAATGTGTTTTTCGAGTTTTCCTCATTTTTGTACGTTTAAAAATCTTCAAGCAACTGCAACTTGCTTGCGTAAGATTGGAACTTTTGTTAGTTATAAAAGTACCGTAATAGCTGTGCCACAATAGAGTGACCTCAACGACCTTTCCCAAACATTTCATGGATCATAACGAGTATCCACACAAACGAGCAGAGTATTTAAATGTAAAAGCCCTTAACTAGACACAACAAAAATCGCATATAAATGGCGTAGGAAAAAATATGATTTTCAGAAAACTAAAATAGCAAACAAAAAAAGAAATAATAATAAGATATAGTGAAGTGGCAATGACGATGATGCACCATTACAAATTGTTGTGTGCTCGATTGGTTAGTTTGCTGTAGGTGCGACATGCAACATATAGTGGCAGCAACACAACATTGAGTCGCACCATCATACCGCACCGTGTTGTGGCAATACGCCGCAAACAAAGAGTAATTTGCATGTACTATTATAATGAAACGGTTGCGGATGTGCGGCAAAAGCGGCAAAAGAAAAACTGTAAATACTTGACATAACAATGAAGCCAACGGATTCAGCGTGTCACAAGTAGCACCTCCCATCAAGTGTGGCGGGTATCATGCTGCTGAGACGCGGAGACGCTGCAGCCGCTCGCATTGTGATGTGCGTTCGAAGCGCCAACACGCTACAAGGAAGCAATTTTCAATTTTCACTAGCTTACTGACACCCAATGCACATCCTATGTTTCCATACAGTCGCGGGCATGTAAATAGGGTAGGTTAAGTAATCAAAAAACAGTGCACATACATATTGCTTCCCATATGATAAATATATTATACTCGTATGTGCCGATTAACCATCCGCCTCAACCAATCATTTAAGATATTTTAAGACAAACCTTAAAGAGTTTCTGCTGCAATACGTACATTTGTACATATGAACACTTTTACCGCAGAATAAAATCCTTCACTTTTAACATCTAAAAGGAATTAAAAGTAGAATATGAAGATGTTTATTTTAGTTGTTTCGGTTAATTTTAATTTTAATTAATTTTTTAGTTATGCTCCATTTAATGTTATTTCAATTTTTATACTAAATTTAATTCCATATCAGTTTATATATATTTTATCAAGTGTCATATTATTATCTATTTAATATGTACAAGGTGTGATCAGAAAATAACCGTTATCTTAAATTTTTTCAAAAAGTATTTATTTATTCATCAATAACTATCTTGTCCCCTTCAAAGTAATCCCCTCAGATATAAAACACTTATGCCAGCGTTTTTTTCTAATCCTCGAAATACTTCTGAAATGCGTTTTTTGGTATCGCCAATAGCTCCTGTTTCGATTTTTCTCTTATATCCTCAATCGTAGCAAAACGCTTTCCTTTCATCAGTTTCTTCAGTTTTGGGAAGAGAAATAGTAAAGAAACACCACAAATCTTTTTATCTGTCAAAAATTACCTACATATATAACAGACATGTGTACCAATATAACAGAAAAAAAGCGAAAAACGAACATACGTAACTCGCGAAATTTGAAAATAACGGATATTTTCTGATCACACCTCGTAAATCCTTTAAGTTTGTTTTGTTTCTGTGCATTTTAATTAACTATTTTTTTTATAAATTTTAAATAGTTTTTTTTTCTATTTTCTTTTAAGTTATTTGTTACATTTTATTTAATATTATTTTATTTCATTTTGTTATTACATCCCAGTTTTATATATTTAATTTATTATTTATTTTATTCTACTTAATTTTGTGATATATTAATTAATTTTTACTTTATTTGAATTTATTATTAAATTTCTTCCACTATTTCCTATTTTTTTTATTTTAGTCCAATTATTCTTTATATTTGCTTTAACATTGTTTTATGTAATGCAGTTTTTTTTTAGATATTTCATTTAATATATATATATAACTTTTTATATTTTTGTATTTGATGCCCACTTTATTTTGTTTTATGTTTTTTCTTTTATTTCAATTTATTTTAGTTTATAATAATATTTTTATTGTAATATGTTCTTTTGTTTTTATTTAAATTTTTATATTATATTTTATTTAATATTATTTCAATTTATATTTTATTTAATTAAGTTTTATGTAAATTATTTTATTTTGCTTTATTTTATTTTCGTTAATTTCTTTAAGTGGCACACCTAGTATGAAATTTCAAAAAATTCGATCTTTTTCATATTTCGATAGATTACACCTTTAAAATCAACATATTAATCGATATCAAATCGATATCTCAAATAGTTTTTGAGCTATAGCAATTTAAAGAGCAGCCGCTCGGCAGCGAGAGAGTCTCATTAGCTACGAGTGAAAACGATCATTTTATCTTTAAACTCGTTTTTCTTGAAACAGCATTTTCCGAATTTGCTGCAGTGATTACTCAAAAACAAATGATCCGATCACTATCGATTTTTTTTTACATATTCTATATATAGTTCCTCGTACAATGACCTATCGATTTTTGATATGGTCAAAAAATCGAATTTTGGCAGGCCAAAAACGACCAAAATTTTGGGTAAAATTCGAATATTATTTTTTAACGCCGCCATATTGTTAATTTTTGATTTTTTTTATCGTAGGTCACTGTACAGACAATATTATCTAGAAGAGATTTTTTTTTTTAGATTTCATCCACGGAGAAGGGCGGAATCACTGCTGCAGTGAAGAACCTTTTTTTCGTGCCGTTGGAGATCGACTATAACTTAAAAAAAATTTAATTTTTTTCTTCACAAGTTTTACTGTATATTCTTGAAATATGTAAAGAATTTTTTTTTTAATAAAAATTCCCAAAAATCCCCTTTTTTTAGGCCATTGCACTAGGTGTTCCTCTTAAAAATATTTTTTAAACTTTTATTTAGTAATTATTCTTTAATTTATTTATTTTTACTTTTTTGTTTATTTTTGATTTAATTTATCTTGTATTTTTTTTTGCATGACTTTAATTTTTCCTTTACTAGTTAATTTTTTTATATTTCATTTTATTCTCTTTTATGTTATTTTATTTTTAGTTTTTGTTTTGTTTAGTTTTGTTTTATTTGAATTTCATTTAAATATTTTATTTAATATATGTGTAAATGGCGATTCGTAGTTACTGAAGAAATTTTCCGCCGAGCTACTCCTCCAATTTGTCGTTTTGCGTCTTGATGTTTTTTCGGTTACCGCGGCCGTCTTATTTTATTATATTTCATTAAATTTTTATTTTATTCTATTTTATTTGATTTTGTTTTATGCCATTTCATTTTTATTTATTTTGATTTTTTACTTAATTTCATTGAATATTAAAATATTTTTAAATTTAGTTATTAATTATTATTTTATATTATTTTAGTTTAATATATTTACTACTTTTCTATTATTATTTTTTTTAATATTAATATTTAACTATTTAAATATTTTATTATATTCCATACACATTTATTTCGTTTTATATGATTTTAAATATTTAATTGATTTTCTCTGGATTTTTTATATTCATATTTATTATGGAATATTTTTTTTTCTTTTGATTTAATTAATTTTTTGTATTATGTTGTATTTAGTATTTTAATATTTTAAGTTATTTTTATTTATTTTTGTTATTTCTGTTCATCTTATTTTATTTTATTTAATCCATTTTGTTTATTTTTTTTTCATTCTGTCAAGTAGAATCTTTCGAAGGATACTGAGAGAGCTGTTCCCATCCCATAAAGTTCAGTTTTGATTAGTTCTAACCGGTATAAAAACTATTTGCTCGTATTATAAGCAGGCGAGGACAGTGGCAAAATACGTCTGTCTGTTCATATTTCTATGCCTTTAACAGTATATTTATATATATATAAATTTTTTATGTGTCCGACCATTGTCTAGCAATCGCATTCATATAGCATGATGTTATTTGTGCAGCACGCCAACAGCATCGACTGCCAAAGCTGAGTTGCAGAAGAAGAAGAAGAAGTAATTTCTGTTACGTCATCCAAACCACTTGAATGGGCTGAGTAAGTAAACTTCATTATGGAGGTGTTGCGCAAGTAACAGGAATTAACACATTGACACTTTGTGTAAATATGTAATTGTACGTAAATAAAATACATACATACGCGTACAAACTATACATACGAATGTAATGACAAAAACAGTTTGGGTTTATTATGCGAATATTTTATTGAAACTTTTCCAACAATGGAATTCGACGCGCGGAGACATGCTTTGCATCGAGGTCCGTAAATCATGCCATTCTTGTAAGGGAGCCGGTCGGTATACCTAACATAAGCAGCCATGACGGCGCGCTATTGTGTGTACGAGTGTGTGAAATGCCAACTAAAGTAGCCCGCGGCAATTGATGGTATGCCATAGAGCACTAATACCACGAGTGAAGGGAAATTAAAAATCAATACAAAAATAATTAGAAACTTCGCTCTGTTAATGTGGGCACTGAACTTTTTCCAACACACTTGACCCTCACCTCTCATCACTGTAAATGATTTTCTAATTAATCAACCATATTTCAAATTTCTCTTCACTAATTCTCATAAAATGAACTGAACTGTTTTTCGACTTGCCACTCACCTTTGGTTCGCGCATTGCCTCGTCGTGTAGCACAGTTGTTAGTGCTGGCGATCCGCCACTTCCGCGGTGCTCACTATAACGCGAACGCATCTCTTCCTCTTTCACCATATAACGATCACGTTCCTTCTCACCGCCGCTGCTGTCCGTTTTGTCTTTGTCTTTGGCTAAACCCGTTCTTGCGGTGTTGACGCTGCTGTTGGTCAAGACGGTGGCGGTGCTGCTGGTGGCGCGTGTATGCCGGTCGCTCTCCTTTTTGCCCGATTTACTACCTTCACTGCCGCTACCGCTACCACCGCCACCACCACTGCCGCCGGTGAAGAGCTGTTTGACTTTTTCGAAGCCGCCAAGTTTTTTATTACGCTTCAGCGTATCATTGCCAGGCGTCTGCGACTGTTGATCTTTGCGTCGTAGCGTACTTGCAGCAACGGGGTATTTGTCTAAGTGCGGATCGTAGTGTGAGCCATCGTCGATGGATCTTTCGCGGTAGACGTAACTGTCCCTACGCCGTGGCGCATGCAGTTGTTCGATGTGACGACGTTCTTTGCGTAAAAATGCCTCAGAGGCTTTGATGTCGTCTGCGATAGTGCGCTTGCGCCATCTGTAGGTAAAATTTACAATTACAATAAACTTATTCTTAAGAACTTAATTGTACATTATGAGCAATATATATGTTTCTATTTCATAAACACACAGACCTACCTGGATGTGAGCTCGCCATTGAAGGACTCCTTTCGAAAGTCATTTTCTATACCTGAATCTCCTTTGTCGAAGCTACGTTGCTGGAGCTTGTCACGTTTCAAACTGCTGCCATGCCAATCTTGCATGTGTGCCGCATTCGTGTCATAACGTTTCATGTTTTCCGGCGAAGAGCGATATTGATCGGTACTCGTTAACTGTGAGTCCAGGCTCTTGGGCTCATAGTCCTGTATTTGTTGTCGTTCTATGGAACCGTCCATGCGTTCACGATGTCGAGTCTCGCGTACATGTGGTTTTCCGTCCGCATCCAAATGTGTCTCTCTCTCGTATACCTCTTTTACCCCACCGCGCCCATCGTCATAGTATTTGGTGTGCTTATACCGAGAGGTCTTCTCCAATGTAGGCGTCGTTACTGGCACTGTAGTCGGTGCAATAATATCCAGATGTGAACGTTCGGGCGAATATTTATTTAGTATTTCTGATGTTTCCATTTTATGGAATCGTGGTTCATAAGACTCTCGCTCGCGTTCAGGACTGAGGTAGCGATGATAAGCGGACTCTTCGCGTATTTCTCTATTACGCTCTGGCGATAAACCGGTATTGCGTTGATAACCATTGCGTTCGAAGCGTTCAGGTGAGTTTTCCACTTCACGGTGATATCCATTGCGCTCTAAGGTTGTCGGTTCACCGAAGCGACGGGTTAATATGCGCGACTCTAAACGTGCACGTCGGTAACCGATATCATTGACTGCCTCATCACGTCGGTATCCAATATCATTGCCCTGCTCATCACGATTTGGTGATTGATAGGCACGCGTGTCGTAACCGTTTTCATGCGTTGGCGTTATGCTTCGTATGACTGGTACAATAGGCGGCTCTGCTGGCGACTTGCTGCTACGTGTCTGCAATAGCGTAGGTGTTTCATCTTCGTAATATTTGCGTGTCTCAATGCCCAGACCCTCATCTTCATCACTCAAATTACGTGGACTAAGTTGCTGCCATGGCGATGGCGAATGCGAATTGGTGATTCGTATGGTAGTCGGACCCACCGCACCATTGGGCGAGCCATATGTACCCGGTGTCCCAAGCGCTCTTGAGGATTCAATGATAATGCGACTACTGCCGTTGCTGTTGCCTATGCGACCGTTATGCGTATTGTAGTTGTAGGCATTTTTCATATTATTTTGACTAGTAGCAAAGTCAGTACGGTCGAGCGACTGACGGCCCAACGTCATTGTGTTCGTTGGTAGATCACGTTCCGGCGAGCGCATGTCACGTAAATCACGTGCAGGCGAACGGTACTCACGCAACGGTGTACGCAATTCCCTTTGGGGTGAGTGTATGGCATCACGGCGATAGCGATTATCTTCTTCATTATGATCCAATTGCGCATACATGATACCCTCATTGGGACGTATGTATGAGAAGGCTGGACCGCTCAGCGGTGGTGGCGGCGAGAAGCGCTCCATTGATAAACGTTTGGCCAGTCCATTGACAGTGACTCCCTTCGTAAGCGGCAACTTCTGTGCCGGCAACTGTGAGCTATGCATATTCTCTTGGGACTTAGATTGTAAGCAGAGTATTTTATCGCGTATCGCGTGTGATATGGGGCCCCTGCCCAAAATACTACCGTCTTCTTCAGCTTGTGAACGACTGCGTACCAGCAGCTCACTCAATCCGCTCTCATGCTTTTCACGTTCGGTTATGGCATCCGATTTGCGACGCTCCCTATTGAACTGCTCGGCGAAGTAGTCCTCTTTCTGTGCGTTCTCGATTATCGGACTTAACGGTGTATTTATTAGCTGCTGTTTGCTCGAACCATTCAATGATTGTAAGCCGGCCGGTGTGGCAGCTGTTTGTTTAGTATCTTTTAATGATTTTTTATATTTACGTTCCTCTTTATTGTACGAGCCAACATCACTTTTGCTGCGTACCAAACGTCTGCCACCGCTGTCTTCGAAGCGCGGATCACGCTCAACCTGATTGACGTTGGTGTCACTGCGGCGACTGAAGATGTTGAAAATCGATGGTCGTTTGGCAGGCTTTTTGGCAGCGGCGTCACTTACACTGCGGGACACTGGCTTGGCGGGTGCCTTCTTCTTGCGCGTGGGCAACGAATGGAATTTCTTTGGATTCGAATCACCACTGCGTTTGGTGCGTACCTTAAATGTCGGTATATTATCACCGTTCTCGGCTTTGCTTTTGTGACGCTCGGCTTGAGCAAGTACCAAAGCGGCTTCTTTACGTATGCTCTCTTCGGAGAGATCGGCGGGCAGCTGATGATATGATGGTATAGTTTTCTGTGGTGGTTGTAGATTAGTGGTTTCGTAATTCGTTAGATCGTTTGGATGTTTTCCTGGAATAAAGCAGAGATATGAGTGGTTTAAAAATTGAAATGAAAATGAGTTAAAGGTCATTAAACATAATTTTGAATAATTATATGCACAACTTATAAATAGTCCTTATACTTTTTTGAGAAGATAGAGATTTTCACAATAAGAGTATTGAAATGAAATGATGGTGAGAGTACTGGAGCCGGCTTTTTGAAACCTCTAAAGCGATTTTGGACCAAGCTCCTCCTCCAATATGTGGTGTGTGTCTTGATAGAGGAACCTGCAGTTTATTCTTATTCTGCCTCCGTACGGTCGCTGTTTTTTAATGAGAGGCTTCTACAATATTTCTGGCCAGAAGTACACTCGCAGGGTTTGAAATTCTCTACTGAGAGGCAGACAACAACAATCACAACGTTAGTTTGATTCTAATTTTTTTACTATTATATACGAGTATCTATTAATGCTCTGAACGATCAGTCCAACATATCTTTATGATCCATTTTTGAGGACCATATAAATAAATATATTTTGAAAGTGTTTTACTGAGTATAACCATTTGGATCGAACCATAATCAGCAGCCGTATGCAAACATGGCTTTTCCACGACACCCAGAGCGAACAACGTAACGTTCTCGCAATCGTAACCAAGTCGTCATAATCTCACCTCCTCCTCTCGGTGACGTGGCTAAAGCATAGCACCAAAGTCAGTTAATTCCTGCAACCTCCGGGTTAACGGGAGAAGAGTTGATCACTTAACTCAGTATTGTTTGAGGGCATGTCAAGTCAGACAGCTGAACATGTGAAAAGGGTTTATGGTCCTGATACTACAATATTCAATTATACACAATTTCAGTTCAGTAATTTTGGTATAAAAGATGATCCACGGTGTGGGAGGCCAATTGCCGCAAATGGTAATGGTTAAAATAAATGGTAAAAATCGAGTCTGACTGTATTGGAGCACTGTTTCGATTGTCCAGGAGTTAACCATTGCACGAAAATCGTTTCGGGCCACTCGGGAAGGGCTGCTAACCAGAAAAAACCTCATGGACAAATTTGAAACACTTTTAAAGCTGACTGATCTCTATGAGCTCCTTCTCTACGACTAAACTCTTAATTCGGACTTATACTGTCCGAACATGAGGCAAATTGTGGTTCATCAAAACAACACTAGACCAGATAAATCGATTGTGGCTCGCCAGAAGTACCGAAGGTCCTTATACATCCACCTTATATTCCGGGCCTTGCACTAAGTTGATACCATATATTTATGTCTATAGCGAATGAATGGATGGTGAAAAATCGGTCTCAAGAGAAGCATTTGAAAATCGATTGCCCCAAGTTATCCCCCAAAACGGACAAGAGCCTCTTTGAGAGAGACATAATCACTGTAGGCTCAAAATGTCTTAAAGTTATCAAGAAAGTCGGTTCCGCGGTAACTGAGCGCGGGCTGAAATCCCGGTGCGACCAACATCCAAATATTTATAGAAAATTAATTTAAATAAAAAATGAAGTTAAATTTTCTTATTGCGGTCGCCCATCGGCAGGGGATATCAACCCCTCCGAGAGTATTTCGGAGGCGGCTTAGTATAAACTATAGGTTCCTCCATTGAGAATTGAAGGATTGAAACCCCTTTCTACCGTTCTACAATTTATAACTTGGGAAGCATCATTACTACTACTAATACTACATCAGGTCACCTTACGACTCGTAAACCATCCATTTTCAAAGCAATATCCAGTATTTGATGGCAATATGTTGTACTTTTAATCTGTCTTTTGTATATTGCATTTGGGAGATGGTCGTAAATAGTAAGAGTAAATATAAAATTAGTATCTTGCTTGAGGTTACAGATCTCAACCGTGTTTTCTTGCTGTGAGCTCATTTCACCAATAGTAAAATTTCTATTTATGTTATGGAGCAACAATTTGATTCTTGTTTCAAGCCGGTAAAAAGATATTGAGATTTGTATTAAAATTATTTAACAGAAAAACTTCTTTATCATAAAGTTGAATATTTGCTTCAATAAAATCCAAATTTTCGTAAGCTCAGCCATTTGACGATACTTTTTTTAGCCGAAAAGTTCACAAATTCTCTTACTGGGCAAATCATTATTTTTATACACTCAGCTTTGTTGTATACTAATGAAATCACATAAAAGAGCTGCGCAAATTTATAAAAAGCACTTTTATTAAGTCTAATTACGATTAAATTTCCGGAAATAAAATATTGCACTTAATTGAATGATACTCGAGCTCCGGCTACGTACTCATGTACATTTGTATTTACAAATTCACAAATAAATGATATAATTAATTTACAATTTGTTTGTTTGTATATAATTAAATTGCGTTGGCACATAACAAGTGGACGCAGCGACGACATTTACGCTGAAACGCGAGCAAAAAAACAGCAAAACACGAGCAGCAAATAAAAAGTGTGTAAAAAGTTGAAGATCATTTTGAAATTAACGCAAAAAGCGAGAGCAACACACTGAAAATCGTTGAAGAAAATTTTCAAGGTTAAATGGTGTCGACAAGAGGCCTGTGCGAGTGCGAAAAGTGAGGAAGCTCATAAATAAAGATAACTGACGTAGAAAAAAAAACAACAATAAAATATCAAAACAGCAAAAACAAACAACTGAAACTGAAAATTAAAATTAAATTAAAATTAACATGATTTCAACAACTTTGACATGAAACAACAACAACAATAAGCGGCAGTGGTGTCTAAGGCAGTAATAAAAATGTAAATAATTTTTTATATTAATTTTCCTTACAGCCGTAAAGTTTGAGATGCGCATGTAATTTCATATTAAAATAATAATAAAAAAAAACAACAACAAATTGATGTATGTAAAAATTAAACCATGTAACATTAGTTTTAAAGCCGAAAATTAGTCAGGTTGAAGACTCCACTCAATTGGACTCAAATGTTGGCAAAAAAAAAAAAAAAAAAAAAAAAAAAAAAAAAAAAAAAAAAAAAAAAAAAAAAAAAAAAAAAAAAAATCCCAAATCATTGNAAAAAAAAAAAAAAAAAAAAAAAAAAAAAAAAAAAAAAAAAAAAAAAAAAAAACAAAAAAAGCTTAAGCGATTATTAATTTGGCCTCAAATTTATTTTACATATAAATATATGTATATATTTTTACGGCGCATAATATGTACGAAACCCGCTTTTGCATACGCGTAAGGGCTCGACAAAATATGGGCGCGTAATAAGCATTATTTAAGGGTATTGGTCAAGTAAAAACTTCGTTCGGTTTTTCTTATTGACTTTTCAAAATATGCTAACTTTGTGTACATTTGTCCGATTTAAATCAAATGTGAGCCGTTTTGTTCGTAAACTTGTTGCCAACGTGATGCCGATTTCATTATACCGCTCTCGTGGAAGGCTGCATCGCTATTGGCAAAAAACTCGAAAAGCATATTTTCACAGGCCTCTCGTGAGGCGAACTTCTCACCATTAAGCTCGTTCGCCATGGACACTAAAAGATGGTAATCACTTGGTGCCAGGTCCGGACTCTAAGGTGGGTGCATAAGGAGCTCCTGGAGCTTCTGACGCGTCACTAAAGACGTGTGTGGCCTGGCGTTGTCCTGGTGGAACACAATTCGGCCTCTGTTGATCAAAGACGGCCTCTTCTGTGTAAGTGCTGCCTTCAAGCGGTCCATTTGTTGGCAGTAGAGGCCCGAATTGAGCGTTTGGCCATAAGAGAGCAACCCGTAGTAGATAATTATTTGCCAATCCCACCAAACACACAGCAAAACCTTCCTGGCCGTCAATCCGGTCTTGGCCACCGTCTAGGCCGCTTCCCCCAGCTTTGACTACGACCGTTTGCTACTTTGGTTGCTTTTTCGCCTTGATCGAAGATAAATTGTAAAATGTAGCGAATGTTTTCTTTTCTGGTGTCCATCTTTGGCGAGCGCTCACAACGTACTGAGTCAATCAATTGAAAAACTGCCAAAGACAATCTTTTAGCTCGAATAAACACGGAAAAAATTCTGTAAAATTTTCCGTATATTCATTACCGTTTTGAAATTTCAAAACAGAACTGTTTGCCGATATAACCGTGACTTTCTGACCATTACCTCTGGAAACAATTAAGTTGGCATACATATTGTCAATTAGAAGCCGGTTCAACACACAGTAATCTGAACGTTCAGCTGTGAGGTAGAAGTAATATGGCAAGTGACATTGATTGTATGTGCTTATGTGGTTCGAAGCCTCCACTAATATTGCTGAGAGCCGCACGTGGAAAACTATTTTTACTTAACTATCAAAACTTTACCTTTAGATCATCTAGAGACCTTAAATCCGATTTCATGTATTTATACAAAAACAAAATTGAAATATGGGGCGGGGCAGTTCAGCTAAAATCCTCGACATACAAATGTTAGTTCGCAATGCTAATCACTCGGCTACTGCGGCCGCTTCTGACACGCATTACAGTATTAATGTATATAAATATGTAGTGTTCTTTTTCTTCACATCTTCTTAATTTCTAGCTAATTTATAGCAGATGAAGATCTAGTTTGTAGCTGTATAAAGTGTAAACGTAACTAAACACGATCTTCCTTGATCAAAGTCGTCAGTCCGAACTATATCTTAACAGGACTAACAATATTTTCATAGAACTAGTTCGAGCTCCTCCGTTAGAACATTGGTTAATCGCCTACCATTTCACAGTTTTGTCTAGTAGATATTTGGCTACCGTGCACCTGTACCGGGGCTTCTGCAGTAGAGCGTAGACGAATTTGCTTAGGGTTATATTCAACCCCAAGCTGGTTTCAGAAACCATTTATTGTCTCCGACAAGAGGGGGATTAGCATACTTTTTGTGCGCTTGGTCTATTCAAGACACAATGGTATGAAAACCTCATAAGCTCGAATCTTACCAAGCACAAATTGTTTCAATAACTCGCCTAAAACACTATTTATTTTTGGAGCTTAAAGGTAGGGGTGATATTTATTGAAAAATTTGGCTACATGGATGAATGCTACGTGCGTCAAAATCAATGGACCACTCAGC